AGTTCTCCCTCTCGTAGATCTTCATCCTGAACTGGCCGCGGTGCTGGAAAGCAAAACACGAGTTTACTTTGCGTCAGAAAAAAACGTGAGACTCACGTGATGCTAGCAGTCGCTACAGCCTGTGCACGGTTTCATGCTCACCATGGGGATCATGCGGCAGGACCTGATGCAGTCTCTCATTCCCATCATGCTCATGGAGTCGGCGTACTCGCCCCTCCTCATGAAGTACTGGTTTCCCATGAAGTTGGGGCGGTCGTAGACCATGAAGCAGCCGCTCTCCACCCTGCAGGAGTGACACCTGCTCAGGTAGGAGGTCATGTCGGAGCAGTCGCTCATGCACTCATAGGAGCGACCCTGGAAGTTCCTGTCCTCGTAGAAGATGATCTGGGAAAAGGACAGAATGGGAAGAGTAGGAATTAAAAAAAACAATGTGAATTTGATGAAGATTCAATGAGAAACTGTGAGTGAGGTGTGTGTGTGCTTACCTTGCCCATGGTCATGGTGATGTGAGTTGGTCAGAGGATAGAGATGCTGTTGCACTGATGTCCGTCCTGTTTTAACTGTTACTTTTATACCTGACCGAACCCAAAGAATCTGTGGCTCCCATTGTGTGAAGCCCTGACTCAGCAACATGGTATAGAGGCCTATAGAGGGCTGAGGGGCGTTTGTCACGTTTGCATGTGACTCGAAGCCCGAGAAGACTTTGGAATGGATTTTTCCATAGGGAAATAAACACAATGAGCGTTTTTTTTTGAAGTCACAATACGGACGAAACAAACAATCGGCTGTTTTACACATTTCACAACAACAGGCCGTTTGGCTCACTCACTCATAAGTGAACAATTTAAAGTGTCCTAGTGCCTGACACATTTAAAAAGAAAGGGTTCTAACAGACAATGATTTTATCAGAAAAGAGAAACAATTTTCTGGGCAATAAATACGTTAATAGTGATAATCAGCTTTATTCACCGAGCACTTTTCTTATCAAGGTTTTAAAGCGATTGACAAGAAAGAAATAACACCAGACAGGCAGATAAACTTAATACATCAAAATAAATAATTAGATGATGTAGTTAATGATATTCATGAAATAAATAGAAAAGTGAATAAATAGTGTCATGAGTGTCATTTTTTAAAAGGAGCTCGAAAAATAGTCATGTGGGACTTTTTTAAAAATGTTTGTCCATTATCAATAAATCAAATTTGATTTAAAACACTTAATAAATATTCTATAACACACTGTGCTGTGGTTGTGTGCAGCTATAGGCACATTTAAGTGGTTATTAATCCATTAAATGATCATTTCCTCACTGAAGATGTGTGTTATCTCATCACAAGTGTGTTTTACTACATTTGCTTCACTATGCTTGTGTCCACAGGAGGAGATAATGTTTGGAATTCATGGGTAAATGTTTTAAAACTAATATCTGATCTCAACCATATTGTAATGTGAAGTACACTATAAAACATTTATATACTATACGTCTAAATATCATCTCTTGTGTTGTTTCCATCCATCACAGTTATTTCAATTCATTATTTTGGGTCAGTATTAGTGTGAAAGTGCATAAATTGAAAAATATTGTTCTATTTTTAGTCAAATGTTCGAGAACAAAATGAAAAATGTTATGGTAGAGAAAGAAGACAAACACAAAATGTACCATGGGAACAGTTGTTGGAATTTTTATTTAAATCAAGCAAAATAAAAAAAGAAACATGTTTGCTTAAGTATCAGCGTTGACCTGAATTAACCAACGAATGATGGTTTTACTGCGTCACAAAGAACTTTAATGTTTCCCTGGTTCCTTAAAACAAAAGCAAAAATTACAAAGAACAACATTAACTTCGAACTTTAAAAGCGGATACCTGCTGAGATAAGGTTTTGTGATTTGCAGTTTTGATTTGCACTTCAGGGCTACCGTATCTCCGAGCGTCAGTCATACTATAATCAGAAACCAGCAAACAACAGTCACAAAGGAGCAAATGTTAATTTGATATGTTTCAGATTTATATGAACAACCTGTATTTCATGGAAGTATTTAATCTGGATTCAAAGGACATTTTCTTAATTTCACTGACTTATTTGCACATGGTTTGTATCGTGTTTATTAATCTATATTTTATTTACGATTATGCTTGAAACTTAAAGGTTTAATCTGGATTTAACGACATTTTCATTTGTTTCTGCTGTAATTCTGGCAGATACATGTCTCAACATAACAAGCTATGAAGCGTTTCCAGAAGTTAATTCAGATTGCCGGGGTTTATTCACTTCATTTCATTTGTTGACAGGACTGTTGAAACCTGAAATGGGAAAAGAGAACGGGGAAGACTTGCAGCAAAGCGCCAAGTCGGAAATGAACCTTCAGCTGCTTCAGCAGGACTCAAACCCCCGACTGCGTGGCACCTACGCTACCAGGTGAGCAGGCGGAATTACTTCAAATTGATTATTTTGCGGTGGTCAAATGTAAAAGTCTGTGTGATCTAGGGCCAGGAGCACAAGGTGGATAGAGGATTCATACAAGTACAAGGTTTTTATGCGCTCGTAGGTTTATTAGGTCTTTTTAGGAGGTTTTGAGAATTCAAGGAATCACCAGAGCAATAAGATGCAATGAACGTCGGAGCAAAGCAACCAGCAGCTGTTGAGATATTTTCAGTCTGGACCAAAATGGTATTGACGTCTTTGTCCTTTTCTGATGTACCCTGTATTTAAGGTGTTACATATACGTCACTGGTATCAGGAGATGTTGTGTTGTATGTTTGAAGTTTTATTTTCTTGTAGTTTTCGAGGTGAGAAGATGCAGAAATAAAAATGAACCAAGTGATTTAGTAGAACAAATGATTATAAATAATCATATTAAATACCACAAAACCAGAGTTTAGAAAGTTTTATCATTTATTGAAGTCAGAATGTACAACTAGCACATGTCGGTGATTCTCTTCATGCTCATGAACCTGTTGCTGCTCATGCCCATCTCCCTGAAGTTCCTGTACTCTCCGGGCCTCAGGTACATCATCTTGCCTCTGTAGTGGGGCTGCTCGTACATCAGCCAGTGGCCGTCCATCACGTTGCTGGACATGCAGTCGGACATGCGGTAACG